CTAACTGAACTGTTCTTGTCTGGATGTCAATCTTTTTAAGGTCTTATCAATGACACAGAATATTACACTATACCAATACTCTTGTTGACATGTGACACTGCAAATAAGATAATTGGTATGGTATTGTATTATTGTATCGTAAACATTTGTAACATCACGTGGTGTATCGTCTATAAAGCGTGGCGATTACCGCCAGTTTAGGGATTCTGTGCCAACGCATACTATCAGCACTAGGCATGTAGACGATCTGGCAGGTATCAGATGCACTCCTGAGATTTATCAGAAGTCCTTCCTACCGTCAATAATTTCTCGTTGGAATAATATTCCTGAGGAGATTCGATGTAATTCTTCGTTGTCCAACTTCAAAGACTATCTAGACAAAAATTCGATAATAAATTATACTAGACTACGTCTCAGATGCAGTTCTTTAAAACATCATATTTTTAAAACAAATCCTGTAGACAATCCCCGTTGTTCATGTGGACAGTTCCCATAATTTGCTGTTTTGTAATAATCACAATGAATCACGCCAAGGATACTTGACTCCTTTGCCTTACAAGTGTTGATTTACTACTGTTTGGTGATGTATCTGAAACGTATGATCAAAATGTAAACGTTTTTTATGGCTACTCATTTTTTTTATCAAATCAACAAGAAGATTTACAAGCAATTAGAATTTAACTACATTACGATATCACGTACACTTAACCACCCAACCAACCGAGTAAAACTCCATCAGTTCCTTTCTGTATCCCTACTATCATGTTCTATCTTTCTTTCTAAACAGTTTAGTATGTACATATTCAGGCTATCACTGCAAAGTTATACATGAATATCAGCAAAGCTTATTATGAACGATGAGAAGGACTATGTATAAGTACCGAAGTTCTTGTTTCCCAATCATCAGAATGAAATGTCTTTTGTAATTGTAATGTTTATTGACACGAATAAAAAATATGGTTTAAACTAAATACTAAATTCCCTGTCGATTTCATTTACACAAATTTGAACAAAAACATTTCAAATATAATTTACATTTTCTATTAGCAAATATCTTTCTGTACATCTCAACAGGTTAATGTTTTTCTAGCTAAGTTGTTTGTTAGTACTCCTGAGTCACCTATGAACAGAAGATAGTATATTGCTTCTTGTTTACCATTATAATTTCATGTCTGAATCCATGTTGTTCGTCCTATTATTTTTTATTTAGTTTAGTAGATATACTAATTTAGGTTACGGAATAGCTAGCGCCACTTATATCATAATACTTTGTCGATCAATATTTTAGAAATAAGACTGAAGTTTATATAAGTATTCAAATACAATACGATGGCGGAAAAAATTACAATGCTTTTTTGAATCCCTCACTTCCTGCTTCTATACATCAAATACAGAATGGTTTTATTCTTCAAAATATTTGTGTTGTGAAATACATGGTGTAATAATAGTCATGTTGACAGAGTGTATATGTGTATCCCTTTCAGCTGGAAAAGGGGCATGAAATTGAACAGATCAAATTATCAAACTGATGATCGATTGAAAAAATAGGTTTTTTGAAACAGAACATAGGCAATTCACATACACTGTTTAATAAGACAGTACGTATACGCATATGTACATTGTAAGTATAGGTTTTACCGATTTTTCGCCTATTTGTTAGACCCGGACCTTGGGATCATAATGCATATTCATTAAAATCAATCAGTTTAAAGCAAATGAAACTACATGCAGTTTTAGCGGTATATGTATCATTACTTGGACAACTGGTTTTCAGATTTGGTTTAAAATTGGGCTTTATCAGAGCATTAAAGCACTAGTTTCATCGGCTCATTTGTGTTTGATTGAAACCATTTCCGTAAGTATCGTGATACCCGTATGTACGGCAGGTGTAAACAATAAACACTAACACGTCGGCGGGTATCTTGTCATTTTCTTGATTTCCTGTATTCGTCCATTTCTCGGGTGAATTACAGCGTTGCACTTTTTAGTGTTGTCATTGATTCAGTTTTATAAAAGTTATTTCTGAATTGTGCCTTAACGTTCGCACCACTGACATGTGACCTATATATGTTATATTGACGCTGACAGTAGGCAGTGTACACATGTTATTTATGCCACACTCGCTCAGGTGAGTTATCTCATACAATACATAGCCAGTGTTGCATGCGAGTACAAGTGTATGATCTCATTCAACTTTTGAATTAAAGTCAATTTGGACCTGTTTGTTGGATCCCATATCAGAAGCATCTGAACTTTATACAAAATCCAAATAAGAATTTCATATATTAATAAATTTTAAGCAGATAGATTATTTTCAAAAAACCTTTAACTGATAGAATTGTTGATGTTTTACTCGTCTTTCATTTGTGAACGATCACATAGACCCGACTTCGTTGGATACGCCGGGATATGACCACCTCACAGGTAAAATGAACCACTAATACTGCTACATCACAGGGTCATGCTACAAATGTCTGAAATACACATATGCTATACTGATACGGGTAACAACACACATATGTATATGTGTATTTCAGACATTTGTAGCGTGACCCTGTGGCTACATAAATGACTTAAAACACGGTGATGATGACCTGAATAGCATGGTTGGTAGATCTCCATCCAATGTTTGAAAGCCTTTAGAAAATCGACGATTTCACCGACATAAACCGGCTGTATACGGCTATAACCGTATACTTGTCAACCTTTTTGCACCGATATTTGTATTCCTTGACTGACGGAAGGCTATATAACTGATATATTAAACAAGGCTTCGTGTGATTGTGTTTCCTCAAAACTGATTTTATTGTTGTGCTGATCAATTTCGAAATGTAATAAAAAACGTAAAAAATGATAATACAGATAGATGTTGCAATAAAACAATGTCTTATATAGGTACACACTCATTCATTTTACTGATTATTCAAGCAGTTTGTTATTGCTAATTTAGATTCGTTTCCATTCTTTATAAAGAAAAGGGAAAGAGGGAAGAAAGAGACACAGGAAGGTGTAGAGAGGGAGAGGGGTGATAGAGACACAGGTAGGTATAGAGAGGGATAGGGAGGAGAGAGACACATGCAGATGCAGAGAGGGAGAGGAGAGAGGAGAGAGAGAGAGAGAGAGACAGGTAGGTGTAGAGATGGAGAGTGGTGAGAGAGACACAGGTAGGTGTAGGGAGGGAGAGGAGTGAGAGAGACACAGGTGGGTGTATGGAGGGAGAGGAGTGAGAGAGGCACAGGTGGGGGTAGAGAGGGAAAGGGAGGAGAGAAACACAGGTGGGTGTAGGGAGGGAAATGGGGGAGAGAGACACAGGTGGGTGTAGGGATGGAGAGTGGTGAGAGAGACACAGGTAGGCGTAGAGATGGAGAGTGGTGAGAGAGACACAGGTAGGTGTAGGGAGTGAGAGGAGTGAGAGAGACACAGGTGGGTGTAGGAAGTGAGAGGAGTGAGAGAGACACAGGTGGGTGTAGGGAGGGAGAGGAGTGAGAGAGACGCAGGTGGGTGTAGGGAGGGAGAGGAGTGAGAGAGACACAGGTGGGTGTAGAGAGGGAAAGAGGTGAGAGAGACACAGGTGGGTGTAGAGATGGAGAGTGGTGAGAGAGACACAGGTAGGTGTAGAGATGGAGAGTGGTGAGAGAGACACAGGTAGGTGTAGAGATGGAGAGTGGTGAGAGAGACACAGGTAGGTGTAGGGAGGGAAAGGGGTGAGAGAGACACAGGTGGGTGTAGAGATGGAGAGGGAGGACAGAGACACAGGTGGGTGTAGAGAGGAAGAGGGAAGAAATATATACAGGTAGGTGTAGGAAGGGAGAGGGGTGAGAGGGACACATGTAGGTGAAGAGAGGGAGAGGGAGGATAGAGAGACAGGTAGGAGGTGTAGATAGGGAGAGGGAGGAGAGAGACAGATAGGTGTAGAGAGGGAGGAGGGAGACACAAGTAGGTGTAGAGACGGAGATGTATGTGATATATGCAAGGACTTTCTTCCTTGACTAAATAGTTGAGCGGTTAAGGTAGAAACGGATGATTCATTTAAAAACTTGTTAAGAAGGGTAAAGAGCTTATTTCTTCCGACAAGTTGTTCCATCGATATAAAGAAGCTGGTTTACAGCAGACGACTGATATACTGCTTGTTTTTTTTTGTGTGGAATTTATAGTTAAAACTATTTAACGCATGTGGGTTACATTCTCTGACTAAAAGGGGAAATAATGAATAGAGGTACACGGGCGTTATCTATTGTGCATTTTGTACAACATTTAAGGACGGCCTCCCCTTTGTGCAAGATGCATGTGTGTAACGTATATACTATATCATATGATTTGTTTAACACAATTATCTTGCTTGTTATTGTTCAATATGTTATCATAAAGCCTATTCATTTCACTATTTGACACTTTGTATGCCGAGAGTCCCGTCTCTGTGCAAAAAGACCGCTAAACTTTAGTTCCTTTAAATGTCTAGATCGCAAAAGTATATTCCGTGTAAATTTAATTTTTCTAATTTTAGGTCTAAATCGCAAAAATGTATGCCCGTGCAAATAACCCGCTTTACGGTAACATCTAAGGACTTCGCCAGTTAAGTGTACCAAAGGCACAAGGTTACTGTTAAATCGTCGGGCTTTCCTTTTGATAAAACACAGACACACAACTAACAAATCTTTGTACATCTAAAAGCAATCTGCATTTTTGCAATTATCTTTTATCAAATTTTTTATTTTTTCATAAAAATCAAAATGAATTCCAACAGAGAATTGTTGTTCCGAATCAAGTTTGTTCTGGGTTTTTCTGTAGATCTAGATGACATCACTATATCGTTGTTCACCGTGCATCCAAATTGAATCGACATTTGGAAAGATTTAGTCGGCTTTACACTGTTGTGTGCCAAATGTTTTAAAGCATATCTTCGGTGCGTGTTCCTTGCTCCGATGTATAAAAATGTTTCAAAAATAAATTGCGCCATCTTTGCCTGTCAAAACTAGAAGCTGATGTCTTACTTCAAACTGTTGATTTCAAAAGCGCTGAACGTAATATTTACATCGCAACATAGAGTGTCACAAACAAGCATTTCCTTCGTTTACATCGGACTGTACATCAGCATTGCGTCTATTCAAAACGTCTGGAAATTTGTTATAGTAAGTGTAGTTAATTGTAGTCTACGTACATGATATTATAACTCGTGTATATAATACCTGACCAATGAACAACTGACATTATAACACAGATGTATTCATATTTTTATTTTAATCAGAATTGGAAATTTCTGGCGCATAAGTTACAATGTTGTTTTAATTTGCTAATAGTTACAGTGCAGTAACTGAACAACCCTTTTTTGAAGTATAGATAGACGTTTTATCCATGAGAATATCAATTTCAATTACAGAGAATATCGAAAACTGAAAAAACATTATTCGACGTCATACTCGTTTCCATTTCAACGAGTAATAACCAAGTACATAAAAAATCAAGATGGCGAACACAATCGTCATGATGTAACAATAAATAGGAAGATCAACGCCAATCCCTATAAGTATGTCACGTGACGTCAGTACCTGAGTCACATTGCCTAGACACTGGGGGCTGATATCTGTACTTGTTTGGTTACACCTGGAAATACATATATACATGCAAATATCACACATTGAAATAGAAATGTTTACGAATGGGATTGAAATTCAGTTTAGGATTAAGATAAACATGTCAAAAACACTGAACTTGCAAAAGAATATTTATTTGTTTGTTTGCTATATAAGTTTATCGCAATAACTCATATCAGGCAGGTTTGAAAATGAAAATGATTGAAAGTGAAACGTTATCACGCATTGAGTATTCTTATGCATCAAGCCTTTCGTTTCAGCGGTCTTTAGCTTCGTTTGTCCCTAACATCGATGATGAGACGTAGAAGGACGAACACGCTGTATGATGTAGTGTAAATCATTGTTAACAACATACTTGTAATCACATGAGTATGTCTTACGTCAATTTTTCTGCCCAATCAGCACAACAGAAATCTATTTTGAATTTGTTCATAGGTTTATAAAAATATGTTCAAAGTGATGCTTATTTAACAAAGAGAAAACAATACACAATAAATCAAAGCAAAAATAAATACAAAAGAAAATACCCGAACAGTGATAAAACAAAGGAAAATTTTAACAAAGGGATGATTGGTTATCTCACCAAACGTCAGGCAAATCCTTCAGTATATATGTCATAGTTGCAGAGTAGGGGTAGTGGACAAGTGTGACGTACTTCACCCACAGTAGCCAATCAGGCGGATTGATATTGAGAAATCCTCCTGTATCAAGGTACAATCAAATCAAATGAAAAAATATTTTATGTTCGGTTCTAATATTTAACAGGTCAGGCAGCAAGTTATCAACGACAGTACAATAGCCAAAATAAAATGATTAAAAAAGCAGTGCTTTTTTTAAATGGACCATCTTATTAAAATCAACGTAAAGTAATAACCATGTGAACACTATACAACATACATGTAGGTATTATGCCATATATAGTGATGGAAACCTGACTATGACTACCTCAGACTTGTCGCTAACTATGGCCACGCGAGCTGTGTTATTGTCAATTATGTTGATAATTAAGGTCAACTCAGTTATGTTTTAATGGATATATGATTACAACCAAGCGTAGTACTAGTATAAAACATTACCATGATATGCAAAGGGATAGGTCATCCGGCAAAGCCTATATAAGCCTTCTCCTTACAACTTCGGTATGTTATATGTACAGTCATTGAAATCATCAAACAAACATAAACAATTCATATAGTGGGTCTCCATGTGGGCACCATTCACCGATGTTCAGTGTAATTTGTTGTCTACGCATTGATTCAAATTATAATAACAGATGGATTTACAACTCTAGTAATTCTGTTTATTTAGCAATTCTATGTTTTCATGAAGATAACTTTAACAAAACGCTCACGTAAATTGTTTAAGGTTGCAAATGTTAGTACCAAATGGCATGAATGTTGTGTAAAGAAGCATTTTTTCCACTTTTTTAAAAATCGTTTCAAAACATTATTGAGAAACAATATTAAGAAACATTGGAACAACTATTCCTTCCAAAATAGTTCTTTATAGCAGTACTAATGAATTACCTAACATGAGTCCCGCTAGTATGATTACATTTCCAACCATCATGCTCAGTCTGACGTCTTTAACCAGAACTGCGATGTTGTGAGCCAAACTCTAAATTAGAAATGACAAAAATATATGTTTGATATCAATACATGCTTGGAACATAAAACAAATAAAATTGAATAGGAAAATCGACAACTTGCCAATTTCGTCTCTTTTTATTTTTATTAATTGGGTCGTCAAGCTGTTCAAAACACAAGTTTAACGAGAAAACAATGCAAAATATTCCTTTTTACGTTAAAAAATTGCATTGACATCTTCAGAATATCCAAATAATTATATGAAAAAACCCAAATTTAACAAAAAGTTTAAATGTTATTTACTTCTTCAATGTATCTATATTAACAAAAATATATTGAAAAGGCTACAGCGAGGCGCTGAGAGCAGCTTAATAACAGTTTTTAACTCTTAATGCGAGTTTGTTGGTTAGAATCGCACCTCAAACGACTAAATTCCCAACCTATTCGAACCACTATGAAGTGTGAAAGCTATATACTATTTATTTACGATGAACAGTATATGTCTATGTGTTGATACACTGATACAGGATCAATACAATTTAGATACCTGTATCATGAGACAATGAAGGATACCAATACCGAGGTATACAAAGTAGCCGTCCACACCTCCCAGACCAGCCAACCAGTACACGGCAGTGTTGTACAGGACGGGGACGGACAGTAGAAGGGGCATCTCACTGGTAATCTTGGAGAGGTAATAGGCTGACAGTCGGTACGCCCCGGCAGACCGGTCCTTGCTGACAACCCCCCGCTCACCAGTAACTTACAAAATAAAATCAGTTCTCTGTAATTTCATTAGCTGGCATTAAAAATGACATTTTTTCTCCGCGACAAAATACCACACATTGACATATAAACGTGAGATTTAAATTTGAATAGTGAACAACGACCGCTGTTGGTTACTTGTTTAAAATGAACATGTGTCTGATGGATATCTTTAAATAAGTTAACGTTTCTTTTTTCAAACCAACGCAAAATAATAAATTCGTAATAACGCGAAAAATTCGTAATAACGCCTTTAAACGTCATAATAACGCGACAAACGCATGTGATACGGTATTCCGTCTTTGCGTATTGCAGAGTTATCTTCTCTTGGGAGCAGGTATTGATTGTTACGTCATTTGTTTGTTAGAGTAACGTCATCAGTTTTTGAGAAAACGACGTAATTTTCTCACACAAACCAATGACGTAACAATCAATTCCTGCTCTCAAGAGAAGATAACTCTGCAATACGCAAAGACGGTATATAATGGCGGTCATCATATATTGAGAGCATTTATAGAACAACTTATACACCAAGATGAACGTGGACAAGCTTCTTATGATGTATCATACATGTTATATGGGTCTTAAGGATGTACACCTCAGAGAAGTCAAACAATTCCTGTATTCAACTTTTATTATAATATGCACTATTGAGAAAGGAGTAAATGGCACAGTAGAAAGAGTTTGTGCTACGGTCTGTCAAAAATACCGAATTATCATAATATGTGATTTTAGGTGACTTTTTGGTTGTGATAATTTGCAAGCTCATACAATATTTTCCAAGACTGTTTTCAGATTGGTATGAATGTTTGCAGAATTGATAAAAACCGTATTTTCTTTTGAATGGTGCAAGTAAAATGTCTTAAACTTATTCCATTTACACAAAAAAAGAGCAATTTAAGTTACCGCTACCCCTTTTATTTTAATGAAAAAATACTCATTTTTTTCATCTTTTTTGCAGATTTAACGCCTGATATAAAAAGTTCTGCTATTAATTGAACTATCAAATTTCATTAAAGCAATGAAAATGTTGTTTTTTCTTTCTAAAACAACAAAAATAAATGGGTTGTCTGTGTGCTTCTTTTTTCATCATATTGAACATTGTAAAGTTGTACAGCAAAAACGAACTCGCTGCAGTTAAAAATTGGGACACAAAGACGATTTAAGTGATCAATTTAGTGTCAGAAAAGGTGATTTATTTTTATGTTTTTGCCTTTTGTGAAGTACAAGAAATACACGTTTTCTAAATGGCCGCCGAATTGGTCTTTTTTGAAATTCTTGTAAAACTAATCTATAATCAACAGGTATCAAAACTCGGACGTATGAAAATGAACCGTAAAAAAGGTATTCAGGTACCATTAAAGTGGCTTTGTTTGTACGGTAGGAACTTAAATTATCAAATAATTAAAAAGAAAACCGGTGGATGCACTTAAAACGCGTTAAGTCAGGATTTGATAGGCCGAGAGAGAGCAGTGTATATATACCTTCAAAAATGCATTATAACGACCAAATAAAGTCGTTATTGTGCCATTTTCGCGTTATTACGACATCTTTCGTGTAATTACGACTTCTGAAAGGCGTTATTAAGACTTAATTTGGTGTTACATTGTATAACGACTTTTAAAAAGGCGTTATTACGACTTAATTTGCGTTATACTACTTTTAAAAAGGCATAACTACGCCTTTATTTGCGTTATTACGACTTTTGAAAGGCATTTTTATGCCTTTCTTTGCGTAATAACGCGAATTTAATTTTAATTTTCCGTTCAAAAGTTGACCCTTCTAGGCTTTTGTAAAAACTAGCAATATCATAAAATATGAGTAATTTTAAGTAGCATAATTCAACCTTATAATCAATTACGTTGTATTTCTTTTACAGTAGCCTTGTAGCGGGAATGTATTCTAATACGGTTTACTTGCCATCCTAGGTGAAGAGTGAATTATCTGTTGTAAATTGAGTTGTACTTTTTGAGCATTTTAAATGCTTTTATAGGCACCTTTCCCCTTTCGCTGTATTTTACCTATACATTGTGTATGATTCGGAACACTTGAGACGTGGATTTCGTTTTTCTTTTATAGATTATTTCTTTATTTTGTACTATTGACGAATCCTATATTGACATATCACGTGACGTAGTAAAATGTTTATTTTATTTGGCTTTCTGTTTTTGCAAACAGGAATGTTAAAATGGGTCATCTTTCTTTGTTCTTCTAGTGATTATTTAACATGGAAGAAAAGCTTTAAGTGATGATATACTTAATTGTGAAAAATAAATATAATGCATCCTCTCCTTTTTCCCCGTTCTTTTTAGGTCTAACAAAAATAGCAGCGAATTATTTTCTATAACACCAACGTTTTCCTATAAAGACAAAAACTTGCGTAAATCGTTGTTCAAATTTTTTCTTGTGTGGAAAATGGCGGTTTCATTTCATATATGAGGAGTACTCGTTTTTATCTGTTCTAGTCAGTCTTCATGAACTTAAAAATACCTTTATCTTGTGATGGAAAAAAAGGAAGTAAATTAATACAATCAAATGAAATGTACACTGTACTCCCAAAAACAGCATTTGTGAGTGGTTGGTAAATAGACGCACAAGAATACTAATATAAAACATTAAAAAAAGGGAAAAAATACTCACATCCCAAAAGAGTAGTGATCAACATTTGGAAAGACCAGTAGATCAAGGAGGTCATTACCTAAAAACAACAACAGGTAAAATATGACACAGTTTAATCATATTGTATAGAGTGTTCACATAGTAGTAAAGATGTATAGCTACATGTACATTAGACTGGCTTCCGTCTCTTGAATCTTGACTTTATAACGACTGTTACGTGGGCCCTAACGGTCACCTGAGTTGTAAGACAATTACTATTTATTATTGCAATGTGACAAAAACAAATAGTACATAACACAAAAAAACAAATTTGACACAATGGTTTGGTTTGAAACGGTGGATTCTCTGACAAAAGTTTGTTTGAGATTAACCAACATACATATAAAGCTGGTTATTTTCAGAAAACTGGGGTGACATAAGGGTAACAGCATTCACAATTTTTAGAAAGCACGTTCGGACGTTTCCTCTCCCGAAGAGATTCGAGTCAAGCACATATGGGACGGAAGAAGACAATTCTTGAAATTTCAACCAATTTGACACTTTTGGACCCTAATCATGAAGCCCCAAGAGAGAGAGTTAAAGTATTACAGTTATGTGATAGCGCAACGCACAAAAACGTTTGTGCCAACATCGTCCGCACTTCGTGCTCACAAGTTGAGGATATAACAATCGATCAACCCGTTGTGCGAAAAACCAGAAAGACTGGAGTGAAACAATGACATCGTATATGTAATTTATGTCCGATCGGTAGATTCTGCGCTTTTTTGTTTAATTCTTCAATTCATACTACAAATTATTGCAATGACTCAATAATGGGTTGTTCAGTCGGGTACTGTACTTGTACACACACGTAATGAATGTGTATGAAGTTGATCGCCGATAGGAGTTCATCGGTCATTTGACAAAGCACAAATGGACCTAACTTTTGTTAATTTTGTTAAGCTTTGTGTGGAAATTTCACACCTCCTTAACGGTTGGCAAGTGGAACAATCAAGGGGCCCAATGGGCCTGCATCGCACACCAGCCATTCATCTGACAAACTTAACCTAGAAATGGATAAAGGTCAAATACTGTTAACTAAAGCTACAGGCTTAATAATATATCCTGACACAAAGGAACCTGTGACAAAATTTCAATATATTTTATAACTTTATTCTTTATTCAAAGACAGCACATCGTCAATATATCGTAATGTGAAATTTAAAGACTAGACTAAGTTCATATTTCAACTGAGTTTGAATTATATCTCCTTAAAAATTAAAAATAAATAGCACACTTGTTCCCTCTTCCCTTTGGGAGGGGGGGGGGTGCGGGGGCAATTCACAATTTTAATGAAACACCCTTTATTAGATGCTTCCAGTATGTCGGTGTCTGAGAAGGGAGAATATTCTTTAATTTGTAGCCATTTGACAACTGTCTTTTCCTGCTTGCAAAATTGTATTGAAATCTGGTCAGTGGTTTAGAAGAAGTCAAAAAAGTGAATTGTTTATTGACACACGACGACGGACCAACGGCGATCGCAATAGATCAACTGAGACTTCAATCTGTATTAAACACGTGCATTTATGTGGTTATTTGATCAGTAAAAAAGTTTTGCCATATTATCATACAAAATGTGTATTAATAGTTTACTACCAAACCACTTCTATCTCGGACGGTGTTGACTGAATTTTCTGTTTGGAAGAACAATATCCCGGAAAAGGCAGCAATGAAAGCAGCTTGAATTATGTCAAATGTGTGAAGAATTCTTCCCTTGGATTGCTTATACGATCTCCAGTTTAGCATTTTAAATTGTGTCCAGAGGGATGTAGGCCATCGGCGAGTGGTCTCTCCTTCCACAATATAGCTATCATTTACTATCTTGACATCAGAGCATGACCTAACTGAGGTTAAAGATTACGAAAAGAAGAACATTTTATTAAATAATGGAAAACTTACATGCTTAATCAAAAACTGATAAGTAAATAATCTTAATAACATAAAAGTGGGCAGAGGCTTACACTGATAAAGCCCCCTGACTCAATACCCCTTCTTTTTCCAATCATTACCTTCGTTTGTGTAAACGAAATATCGACATTTGCTATATGAAGTGTTGCATTTGCATTATCTTGTTTTACTCAAATTTGAGTTCAGGAGTGGGAGAAAGAAAAACAGTCAACCATAATGTAAGACATGAACGAACAACCTCGGTATATCTTCGGTTCTGACTCTCGGGTAAATATTCATATTCCACATACCTACAGCTTATTTGACTGTTTTAGCATTTGTCGGTTCAAACTAGATCATTTAATTACGCTTTCCTTGCATTATACTTTCAAAATTGCTATACTACACTCATTACCAAGCGTAAGAGGCACATCTGCTGGCCCTTTGCCTTCTTCTTTGTCAGATTCTGTAACAAAACCCCCATTCAGCTGGCCGATCGGCACCTGTAGACTAAAACAAAAACATATACTTATAAATGGCCTTGCATAATGTTTTATCACCGCAGCCCAGTAAAGTCACGGAAATTTTGATAATAACCTCAACTGAGACGACTTGTGAGCTAGTTTGATTATATTCGTGTTTAATTGCGTGAAATGGTTGAAATACGGCTGCACATCAGGTCACTTTATTCCTACACGTTTAAAGGGCAAGTGCCAAATGTTGAATCGGTTTATTGTAGCTAGTAAATGATTTTCGATGTGATGAAATAAGAGTGAGCGATTATAAGTAGGCCGCAACATTTCTCAATACGTTGGGTTGTGATGACATATTTAAAAAAGCAAAATAAAAGATGGAAATGCTTATATCTACCTAAAAAAGCACATATCTTAAAAAACATGCTTATATTTAATCAATCAATAAAGCAATGTTTCTGTGCATTGATCCGCTATTTTTATATATAATGATTTGGAATAACTCCTCACCTGTGGGTCTTTTTAATGTCTCCTTCGTTATCTCTTGTGTTTAAGTCCGGCGTCAATATCTCCACTATACAGCAAAATACATGTAACAAAACAATGTTGTATTTCAAGTCTTTCAATTAAACATAAATTCTTAAAAACATCGGCTTAATGTGCTATGATATTATGCATACCAGGTGAAGTATATATACTTGTAGCAAAAATTTTAAATGTATAAACAATTAACTTATTTGTTATACAATAATTGTGAAAAGGGTTTTATCAACTTATATTAGTTATGAAAGCAAGCAGAGACTGTCAATGTAGGAGAAAACATGGTCCAGGCACTCGGAGAAACAATGCATGTAGTTTCACAGGTTACCTACTACGTTTCAACGTCCTATAGCGAAAACGAACACCAGCCGCCTTAGTGAGAGGCGAGTACTCACACCACTGTGCTACCAAACCTCTCATTGGATATAATTCGATAGGAGATGAAATGAATAAATAGCAATTAACCAAGTGTCCATTGTCTTCATTTAAATAGAAAATAAGGAACGACACATAAAAAACGTGCCTTGTAAACCTTAAATAACTGCAATCAACTCGTAAGTACGCTTTTCCAAACTTAATCGAAACTGTGATGATGCTACTGTAAACTACATTATCAAGTTATGGAATAGTGTAGAACTGTCATTAATAGAGAATGTGGAGCTTATGCCAGCTCTAGAGTGCTACGTCACTGAACTACCATGTCAAAGGTATCCATCCCAGTATTCAACCCGGTCACATTATACTGACAACGGATGAACCAGTTGTTATAATTGTCAGGAAGGAATAAGGGAGAATATACATAGATCCGAAATGTTGCAATTAGTCCAGTAGATTATTTTTGTCGCTTTTGAGTCACTTAGTAGAGGGTACAACAATAAATCCCCAAATCTGATCCTGCATCAGTCGCCTCTTACGCTATACAGTGGGTAACTGAGGGTATCATCTTTTCTCAATATGCGACCTCCAGAGGCTTGATTAATATCAGGGTATATGATAAGGTTTCCAATTTTGTTGTGTAAGTGTGTAACTATCAATTCGAATCATTACATGTAGTGTTTAGATCTAATAGGAATCATGCATTGTGTGTACTTACAGAGAAAGTCGGCAGGATTATAATGTTGACTACATGTCATTCCAAGGCTAGCGAAATGCTCTATAACCATATTGGCTAAACCAAAGTATGCCACCTAAAACAAGAAAATCAAGAGGCCCAGAGGGTCTGAATCGCACACCTGAATATTTAAGCAATCAAAGCAAAATATTAAATAAATATTATACTGTAAGACAAATATTTTCAAATATTGGCTCCGTCTCTCAGCAACACCTTTCACATATTGGGTCCTATTCTGCTGTCCCTATTGGATGTGGGCATGATTTCTACAACATTGAATCATGTTGGGCCAAGGATAATATATATCAAATTAGATTAAGATAAAGCAATAGGATAAAGTAGGTAAAGGCCATTTTCATTCGCAACCTTGTTGGGCTCCATCCAAGGAAGCTGCTTGCCAAATATCACGACTCCATGCCTTTCACTACATCAAGAGAAGCTGCTTGCAGTTTTTGCTATATTTAACCCCTGTGACCTTGAAAGTAGGTTCAGGTAGTTTTCAATAGCCAACTTTGTCGGGCTCCATCTGTGACAGTTACCAACTAAAGATTATAATTCTATGCCTTTAGATTATTCCGAAGAAGCAATTTGAAGTGTTTGGTATATTTGGCCCCTGTGACCGTGAAAGTAGGCTGAGGTCATTTTCATTCGCAAACATTGTCGGGCTACATCCCAAAAAGCAACCAGCCAAATAATATGATTCTATGCATTTTGATTATGAAGAAGAAATTATTTGATAAGTTTGACGGATATGACCCCTGTGACCTTGAAAGTGGGTCAAGGTCATTTTCGTTCTCAAATTTTGTTGGGATTTTACTAACTAAGCTACCAGCCACATATTAAAATTCTATACCTTTCAGTTCTTCAGAAGAAGTCGTTTTAAGTATTTCACACATTTGACCCATGTGACCTTAAAAGGAGGTCAAGGTCATTTTCAATCTCAAACTTTGTTGGTCTGGAACTAACAAAACTATCACCCAAATATCAATTCTAGGCTAGTCCATTCTTCAGAAGAAATCGTTCAAACGAAAAGTTGCTGGACGCCGGACGGACAGTTGTGAACTTTTCTTATTGTGACGTCTTAATACAGCATTCCGTGTCTCAAAATATTTTGCAAGACTAGGATTATTTGAATAAGTAAGCAATTATAATACATTGTAATTAAGAAAAACGTAATGAACACCATATAATGTTGATTTTTATTAATAACAATTCTATTTCACTAGTGACTTGATTTTTTTTTAATTTCAACTGGTGCTATGCAAAAAATAACCTCTATTTCTATATCTAAATACATCTCTTATTTGATGTTATATATTGACTTTTTTCAAAGTTACCTCTCCGTCCACGAGCAGCAGTAAGGTAGAGAACATGTTGAACACTTGACTGGAGGGCTGGTGTATGGTGGCAACTATCGTCTTGTTGTATTCGGTCGCGTAGTTCTTCAGCTGAACCATCAGCGTGTGTGCAGTACTAGAGTCTAAACCGGAAGTCGGCTCCTTTAATATAAACGATATGAGATAGCTTGGTATCTGTAAAAGTAAACCACAGTGCATACACTGCAATTGGAATAAATTTGTTTCCTTTAGTGTATATACACTTTGACAAGTTGGGATTTTTACTAGCGTAATAAACAGGTTAAGAGTTATAAACAGAGCTTATGACATCAAACGATTGACAGGTAAGCACTCACGTCTATTAGGAGTAAATCTGGGTCTGTTAGCAGCTCACAGGCAATGTTTGCTCTCTTCTTCTCACCTCCGGATAAACCACGACTGAAAATATCACCAATAGCTAGAAAGGGATAAAAAAATATGTCAGCTAAGAAACACACAGAAAACAGAAAGATTCAACAATCAACGTACATCAATACAATAGCATTTCAGCATATACATTTAGAGTTTACATGAACTCTTTTTGTCTCTTTCTGTGATTTAATATAGAGCTTAAACAACATGCCTGTTTGTTCATTAGTCTACGAGATATAACATAAGTACTTACGTGTATGAAGGCACTTTTTTAGACCCAATGAATTGACGATTGTATATATTTTCTCCGTCTTTTCTTGTTTTGGTACTTTGTCTGGTATACGTATCATCGCTGTAAACTGAGGAAATTATCTTATTTCATGTTATTGCCAGCGTTGTAATAAGCACATAATCAACAAGGTTGCATGTACAATTAATGTTTACTTGTTTACTCTATATATACACCGGAAATATTTTATACACATATTTGGATATATATAAATCGAAATTGTAATCTCATTTTATCTAGAGAAACATTGATGATTTAGATAATCTTGGTAAAAAGCGTTACAATTTAACATCGACAAATAATTTTAACAGGGACAGTGCCTGGTGTAATATTAACCGTTAAAACACTTAATTATAATTGAACGTGCGTCATAATTTGACACAACACATGATAATTAAGATTAAGGAAAAACACGAATTAAACTTTAAAAAAAAATCTTATTCTAATTTTCCACTCCATTACTGAAATGAGTAACTATTTTATAACAGCATTGAACTGCTTTTATATGTCTCTTAATGTCCATATGAATTCCGAATTGTACGCTTAATGATTATAAATGCCAATTGAAAGCTTTTCATACCATCTTTGAAATATTTTAATGCCGTCAAATTTATTAATTGAATCAGCATTTAGTTTTAATAAGTGCATGCATCTTTAAATAACAGCTATATTCAAATAGTCGATGTTATCTAATTTTTGCAATTATCAAAGTATGGTCATGTTCACATCACATTCATAGCTGATATAAATGATATATGAAATTGATAATGGCGACGTTTATGTTGAAGCATTACCAAAACTCAAAAGACTACGGAAATGTCAACAAAAATCATAATTAGAACTCAATATCGATACAAACAGGGCAAGATGTAAAGAAAGGAAACAGTTACAGATAAACATTTGAAAGAGTACAAGGAGAATAAACCCAGACGTTCCAGCAGGGTAAGCATATTCTGTTTCATAGACGCAATCTCCAATGTAAATCAAAGTCAAATCCAAGTAATGCCACGTTCTCATCCTCATATTCGGATAGTGACACCAAAACCACAAGGCACATCAATGAGCATAATAGAAATAATCGAACATTTCATCAGACACAGAAATAGCGTATTTCCATATGAGATCATGAGGGTGACGAGAAAACTACCCCGTATATTTCCTTGCCTCCTTCATTATCGGACACTCGAAATCGTCCCGCGTATCGTACAACTTAGAAAAAGGCAGTCCCCGTCGGTCACAGTGTAAAGAAAGAATGAGGAACGCTACCGAGGACTTTACTAGGTTTTTTTTAACTAACCTTATAGTTTAACAATAAAATCAGCCTCATATAAAATATAAAACAAATCGCCCAGACGACAGGTTGTTTTCATGTGAATGTTTACAGTTTGCTGGAAAAATCTTGACACCGAACTCAAAAAAGATATTGCCAAATGGAAACTCACAATTCCATCCTCACTATTTATAAATCTATCATATTTTTATTGATTTTCGTTGATGTAGTTGTTGTTGTTTTTGTTGTGCTTACACAAAATATCATCCAAGGTAAATTACAAGCATATATTTGTATCGCCGTTTGCCATTCATAGAAAAGAAATATCACATAATAAGAGACAGAAGGTGTTCTTTATTTTGGTATGATGTATGGTAATGTAAAGGGTCAAAATGACAAATATTTTGATAGAAGAAACATTTTGAAAACAAGAGGTTTAGACCTTTGAATTCTTCAAAATGTCTATTCCATTTCTTCCAATTATCGAGTATACTTTGTCCCAGCACGACTGCAAACTGATGCAATGGTACTAAGAATGATACTGAGAAGTTAAACATACTCACGTAAAGTGTTTCCCACAACGTCAGGTTGGAAAGGAAAATGTCATTCTGCAACACGTAACCAAGGCGACGTCGATGTGTTTTGTTTAAAGGTGACCCGTTCAGAGTGATTGTCCCGGAGTCATGTGATACTCTTCCCGCTAGTACATTGAGAAAAGTTGTTTTTCCAGCGCCTGCAATGTAACGTTAGTAATATATCGCATGTATCTATGAGTGGTAGGGTGGCACAGTAGTTATGTAGGGCACTCGCATTTTACAAAGACGGCATCAGGTCGATTCTCCGATCGGATGTGAACGGTATCGTATCACCTTCCCAACCAATGTTATCAACTGCAGAAAACGTGCAGTCAACCTGCTTCATTCATCGTTCCTTTAGGTTATTTCAGAAACATACCAAACGAAATCACTTGAATCTGAAACATTTTGTTATATCTTTCTTAGTCTCTACTCGTCTCTCGTCTATTAATAGGAAGTACTCTAACAAGGCGCAACCATACAGTTATTTAGCTTCACCTCAAGTGTACATTTGTTAATGAAAGGCTGTTTTAATAAATATATGGTTCAGATAGAAAAGAGTCACTGCAATCAGTAAACTTTAACAATAGAATATGTACATATATTTAAACTGCTTAAGTCAATTATAGTACATAACAGGATTTTTAACTGCTTTGAACCTTCTTAGAACTTACATTTACTTCAAAAACGACTTGTATTTATATTCAGTAAGACCGTAACGAATATTTCTTTAATAAATAGATATAGTCATTCAATAGTACTATATTTGTCCATACTACCGTGTGTTAAGGTATGTACGACATTGGATGTTACCTGTAGGCCCCATAACGGCCAGCAGGTCACCACTAGATGCTGATCCAGACACATTCTTCAGTAGCACCTTAGATTTAGTGGACACCACTAAATCTTTAAAGTCCAGTTTGGAGGACTTCGAAACGTTCTCCATTTCACGACTTGACATGTTTTCTAATTATCATCGCTTCATCCTGAATACAAAATGTGATAAATAAAATAAGCAAGATTAAAAAGCATATCGTAAGCTCAAGCAATTGATGTTTTCCTGCAGCATCAATGAAGCTAGAAGGCACAAAATTTCACAAAGTAAAAAGTGGCACTGATTCTGATTACCAGTCAAACAAATAGGAATAATAAGTACAAAATAGAGAAAAGTTTATATGAAAGGGAAAAAAACAACAAAAAACGGGTAAATAATAAAACAATCGGAAGAAAAGTCGAAAACGTCACCAAGCATCCAGACAAAATATCATACGATCAGGAAACGTTATTATATGTTGCACCACTTGTGGTATCGTCATGATGCGTCTTATCAAATCTAGTAAATATTTTATTTGGTTTATACTGAGATTATTTTTGAAAAAATGATTGTTCTTTTAATTCATCAGCATGCAAAATTCTAAAAATCGTAATTACAGTCGGAAAATGAGCCGCAGGTAAAGGGATACCTTTAAAATTAGTAACAACGAGGTACTAACTAAAAAAACTTCAATTGAACAAAACTCATCCTAAATAAACAGAAACTGTTTAAGTATCGAGTGTGACGCCCATGAGCATCAATTACAGCTTCACAACGTCTGCGCATGCTCCGAATAAGGTCGCGTATCCAGTTTTGTGGGATAGCGTTCCACTCAACTACCAACGCTGTTCCCAGCTCCTGAGCGTTCTTGGCTGAACATTTCTGGCAGAGAGCGCTGTCTGCAGCATGTCCCACACATGCTCGATGGGATTTAGATCCGGCGAGCGGGCTGGCCAATCCATTCGTTGAATAGTCTCTTTCTGTAGATACTGCTCAGTCACTGTTGCTCTATGTGACCTAGCATTATCATGCATAAGGATGAAGTCAGGGCCGATAGCGCCAGCGTAGGGTCTGACATAGGCCTAAAGTATTTCATCGCAGGAAATCCGGGCCGTAGCAGTACGATTATGGAGGACATGGAGGTCAGTTTTCCCACGAAGGCTTATGCCTCCACACACCATCACTGAACGTCCGCCATATCGGTCATGTTTCACAGCGTTACCTGCCTGAAACCTCTCCCAAGGTTGTATCCATAAACAAACTAACGCGCCTGTCGATGAAGTCGAGACAGAATCTGGATTCCTGAATAGTCCAAATGCTCTGAGCTTAAGCCCAATCTAATCGGTCCCTAACATGGCGAGCAGTTAAGGGAACTCGTATTGCTGGTCAACGTGACCTTTGACCAGCATCATGAAGACGGTTCCTAACTGTAGTGGCTACCCCGGTACCAGAAGCATTTAGGAGGTCGTTTCGTAAAGCTGTGGCAGTATGGAACCTGTGACGCCGTGCCTGTGTGAGCAAATATCGGTCTTGGCGCTGCATTGTAGCACTAGAACGACCTCCAGCATGACGTCTGGAAGGGTTTTCGTTAGTTTGGAAACGTATCCCCATTCTTGCCACCACACTTTGAGACACCCCACGGTATGCTGCAACCTGACGTTGAGACATGCTAGCTTGCAGCATTCCGATGCCCCTATTCATTTCACCGTCATTTAACCGTTGTCTGGTACGTCTTTGTGCCATATTAAAACAAAAAAAACATGCAAAGAATATTCATCAAAGTGATTTCCTTAACAATTTGAACAACGCCTTACTGAGCTTTTGAAAGGGGTGTACACGTAGAAAAGCGTGCACCCGCTTTTATGGTTTACTGAAAACATCCACACTGGACGATTTGGAAGCTAACATATTCGCCCAAAACAGTACGGACGGAAAATGTAAATAAAACCAGAGGTTTTCATCTGTTCTAATTATAAGACATACTTCAATATATTGTGATTTAGAGTTTGAATGAACATTGTATTTGAAACGATTAATTTTACTGGAGTAAATCTATCTTTATGTACAGCTCAACTAGCATGCACACTTACACAACACACATGAAGTACGTCCTTAATTGACTTTAGCTGATAATAGGACGTTAAACATAATAAAACAAAACAACGAATATGACTCTGGCTGTTGTGTCTCCCTAAACACCCGTCCTCATATGACCTGGCTGTTGTGTCTCCCTAGACACCCGTCCTCATATAACCTGGCTGTAGTGTCTCCCTAGACACCCGTCCTCATATGACCTGGCTGTTGTGTCTCCCTAGACACCCGTCCTCGTATGGACCTGGCTGTTGTATCGTATGACCAAACTGTTGCAAGGACGTTAAACACCAAACAAAAAATTCCTAATCGCACATGTGTGTACCATGTAGCACACTGCCATTTGTATTGTGTCCTGTATTTTAGTGTACAGGCTTTATAAAGATTCATCAAAGTTAGTTCGGATAGAAGCGCATTGAACGCTCTCACCACTGACATTTGGCCTACTTATAAAGACATGTAGTGTAATGCTTCAATTGCTCAATTGAGTTGGAATTAATACATTATATTTACATTTGCATGGCATTGTCACTATATAGCCTCTTTGAAAGCTGTGTCGTTGATGGGACTTTAATTACCATGCAGCACGAGACACAATTCTTAGCGTATTAATACAACACTCACCGGAACTACAATATCCAATTTAAATAAACATGACGGCTGTTGAAAAAAGAAAAAAGAATACTTTTATAACAACAAAAACAAGACCATGGTCTGCAATATCGTACAGAATGCACATTGGTTGAAATCACTAATACCGGCAATGGAAACAATTTTTAACACCCATGCAATTTTTCAGAAATATCGTCTGTTACACTGCACTGATCAACAGGGGTTCGTTACAAATGTCTGAAATACACATATTGTATAGACCTTCTGCAACATATGTTACAGACCTACTGATATGAGTCACACACATCAGTTACTGAACATTTAAGACAATTGTAACGAATCCCTGTGCTCAGTCGCAAGATCACTCGCTTTAAACGCTATCAGTATCACGCGTATCGCAGCCACGGTTTCCGCAGTTTCTGACGACATGTCAAATAACGAGGCTGTTGAAGAAACTACCGACTGTAGTCAGATTCCCATATAATCACGAATAAATTCACGCCTGGATTCTTCACAAATTCGAATTTTTCTCTCTGCTAATTTTACTTCCAAAAATGACTCCCTCGTGGAGGTCAAGGTCGGATTCACGGTGTTCACTGTATTTATTCATGCGAGAAATTTGTTCCGGGGAAAAATTGGAACAATCTAAAATCTAACTTTCAGCTATGATTTCTATTGATAAACTTATATCACCCTATAGATATATCATAAGCAATTGTATTGATACTGAATTGTGGAATAAAATTGAAGTGTTTGTTAAAATTTCAAAGTACTACTTTGTTCAAACTATTGAACGAAATTGTGTGGACTGTCGATAAGGCGGGCATTTTAATTTTAAATATAAATTATAAGTTTAAAAAGAACATAAGAGGCAGAGAAAACGTAAATATAAGTATTGAACTGTTTTTGTATGGTATTTATGATCTACATGTATTTGAATGACACAGCTTTGCAAGCAAACAAATCTGAATGTTCAATGCCTAAATAATACATGTACATAGCCAGTGTTGCGTGTAATTACGAGTTTTAAGCCTCAGGGCAACTGTTGAACGATCTCATGATACGAAGCTTCTACACTTTAAACATAATCCAACCATGAATAACTTATATTAATTCATGTTTAGCCAAATGCTAGCTTAGATCAAATATGTAATTAATAATCCTATTACCTTAAACGTAGCACACTATGGTAATAGGAGGTATCGAGAGATTGTATACAAGTTGGGTAGTACACGGTGTATATAATAACAGATTCGAATTAAGTATAAACCCCGAGACTAAGCTAGGGCCGACTACAAGCCAGAGTGAGTACAATTGTAGTGGTAATATAATATGCTTCAGTAAAAAATTCGTTTGTGTTTTAACAGTGTCAGAACATTATATGAAATACATTCTTAATGTATTCCGTTGATACAGATGTTGTCTGGAATAATTTCGGCAATACTTACATGACCTTCTAGCAGATATGTGTTCAGACGTTTGTGTAAATCCGACCTCTAAACATAGACTAATGGTGGCTATATTTAGACACCAGTGCAGGTAGATCACCCCGAGCGAAGGTGAATGTAGTAATTCAAGCGTATTGTATACAATAGACTACCCGCCACAATAGGCATTTCTGTGGTACGAGATTGTCCGAAATGCCTATTGTGGCGAGTCGTCTTATATATAAGATATATCTTTTTGATGTGGTGTGTAGGATCTGGCGATTTTATTTATCATAACAATAGCAATAGGTAAGAAAACAATATACATATTCACGGGAATTAAAACAATGTCTAGGTGAACAGACAAGGTTGTCCACTTCCTCTTCTGCCCTTGGTAATATTTTTTTGAGATTTTGTTGAATAAGACAGGGCAAATATTGATGTATTTAAACACAACACACGAAGATTTCACAATTTTTAGACACCATTATTTTATGTTCCTAAAACGAATGCATACAAATTATATGCAAAAAGGAAGCTGAAATGTAATCGTAATTAAAAATAAAACAAAAGCAAAACAGATGGAAGATGATCAGTTTGCAAAAGACAATTTAAAAAAACTCAACATGGCAGAAATGTCATTTAGAGGCGAAACTATGAGGGATGCATTTTGATTGAAAAAAAGATAAAACAAGGCTATTAAACTAAATGGGAACAAAGGACGATAACATTCCTTGATGAAATACTATAAATTGCAGGGAAAGAATATTTACGATAGTGGGAATATCAACAATGCAATTTGAACAATTTTTAACATGTTACAATTAATTCATGGACAAACGATATTATCACTAGAGAAAAATATATTTGAAATTATACGGTTTGGAACAGAAATCACAAAAAAAACATAAGTAAAAAATGTAGGATTTAAAGACATGTGAGGATAGGTTAATACGTACTAGATAACTATTAAGGTCATAGGAGTGTATTGATAAACGGAAGTAGGAAGTACATCCCTAGTTTAAATTCCAATGTAGGGAGACAGTATCACAATTTCCGTATATTCTAATGTTTAATATTTAACTGATGAATATTGTATGTTTATTATTGACAGAACAGTGTTTTCTCTCAATATTAAAGTGTTTCAAAGCAATGCAGGCATTAATTCAGGTGTTTTTTTTTTTATCAATGAGCTACATGTATCCATTTTTCATTACTTCAGGAAACCGGCTACCTATTTCACTACTGTGAAGTTTTTCAAGGAAGATAACTCTTACCTGCAATTACTACGTGCATATGGTTTTATTATAAAATGTCAATTTTTAATCGTTTACAGATAATTTATTTTACATAATTTCAGCATTTATTAAATTGATATACATTAATGCAATACTAATCTATGGTAGTATCATTTTTATTGACATTATTTTGCAAAAAAATGTGTCTTTCATTTTTTTTCTCCAAAGTCACTCCTTTTTACATGAATTTCCATTTAAATTCCTTAAAATTATGACAACCTTTATTTTTTTTGTGGCAGAACATTTTCTTTCCTCCAAAGCAATATAACTACAAAATTTGAAGAAATTCTACTGAGAAATGGCGACACAATCCTATTACCTTAATAAAAGATGATACGCAGAAAGTTTGAAGTTAACTCAGGGTGAAGTATGTAACATATCTGTCAAAGTATTCCGTCTTTGCGTATTGCAGAGTTATCTTCTCTTGTGAGCAGGTATTGATTGTTACGTCATTGGTTTGTGTGAGAAAATTACGTCGTTTTCTCAAATATTAATAACGTTACTCTCACAAACTAATGACGTAAAAATCAATACCTGCTCACAAGAGAAGATAACTCTTCAATACGCCTATGTGAAGGACACCCATACCGCCGCCAAAACGATGTAACTGTGAATTGAAAACTCTTTAACCAGCATGACGATTCCTTTCTGAAAATAAACTTAGATCTTGCAGACCTTTCAAAGAATAACAAAAAATCATTAGCAGTGTACAGACATTTTATAATCCGGTAAGCCAGACCGGGATTCGAACCCTTGACCTCTGATTACAATACGGACGCTCTAATATGACTTACCCAGTCCGTGGTAATATTTAAAATAAAATAAAGGGAAGGTCGCTGTAATTTTGCCTAATGAAGGACAGGGATCCTTAACTGTAAAACCAAATTAGTTTTTTCCACATTTTAACAAAAAAACAATGATTCATGGACATCATTAGACGGCGAGTGTCTTCAATAAGATTCACCAGTTTTGAAATATGTAATATCAAAGTTTTACTTTCTACACAAACAGTGTACGTATCAAACGTGTCGCAACGTGTCAAGACCGACTGGTCCCTTTGTCAGGAGTTTTAAGAGGAAAGTGAGTTTTCGCAGGAAATGAAATTATTTTCGGAAACACATAGATTTGTATACAGTTAATTGGAATATCACGTAATAATATGAAATGGGCCGATATAATATAATAAATATTGGGGACTATGTCAATGAACGAAGTGTAATAGATCAAACGAATTTTCATTACAAATTAAAAGAAAAAATCATTCAGATGCATGGGATAGTTTAGTTATCGCGCTGTGGACCAAATTGAAATTGAAATTTCAGTCAAGACATCTGGGAAGCGTTTATAATACAGTATTTTTGTTGTTTTATTTTTAAATTGAACTTTATTTATATTAACAACATTTATGAATACTAGGATATCAATTCATGTTAATCCATCTTAGTTGACCGCATATAGGCGCACAGTGGTCTTAGTGTGGGAGGAAACTTGAGTACCAGGAGAAAACCAAATAAAATACAATGACTTAACAGTAAATATGAGATGCAAATTAAATACGTTAAGATCTTTAATAATAAATATGATTGATAATTAACTGAAATGTTTTTAGCATACACCTTGTTAACATAAACAGCAGATCGAGTTTATTATAAAGAGAAGATCTCAATTGTTTGAAAATTTGATTCCCTTTTTTATATCTAGGGAATGGTCAGTAAATAAGCATACATGGTTCACATGGAATTTGTTTTGTAACGTAACAAAACACAAGTGGAAAACCTTTGCAATTTTAACCGTGTAACACCATTACTTTAAAGAACCTTTGATAATAAAATCAAACAAATTGTGCAATGCTTTGGATTCAATACTATGCAACAAAGTGACCCACTGACCAGGAATTAAGTTTAGGGGGGACGCCACGCCACGTTCTTTGGACTGTCCTTGTATCGCCTGCCCCATCAAAATGAACAATAGAGCTTATTGCACAACAATTTAACAATAACAGTTACCTGTTCGTTCACAGGATTATAAAAGGCATATGTGAATGTCACAATTAGCTCAAAGCCCTACAGGCAGGCATTAGATCTGTAGGTCTCGCTCCACTGAGCGACTGGATGAACAACACAAAGCAAATATCTAATTTGCCGCTAGCTCCACGAAAGGACTATAGCGGTGGACGTTTATCCATGGGGAAATAAAATCTAATCGAAATACGAGTATACTTGTACATAAATATATATATCAATAACAGCAGCTTGCCGTCATCTGACGTGAAAATATGTACGCCGCAGTCTGACGATGACTACACGAAACGACAATAAAGATATACCTCGATCATCTAAATCAACCTGCACGCCAAGGAAAACAGAAAGTCCCCGTAAACCTGTATCCAAAAGCGGGACAAATATTATTTAAGTCAGATTCTCTGAGGTGACAGTTGCACCGCTCTTTTTATTCACAGACATAATGATCCCTAAGTTTAGTGAGAACCGTACGTCCCGAGTAGACCACACTGACAACATCCACCACTCGTGTACCCGAGTACACGTGACAGCCTTCTGCTGCTCGTGCCGCACAAGTCAAATTATTCCCGCTTTTACCTTCCTCTTCTTAAAAACATGAACATGTTATCTGTCATTGTAGAGCCTGTATGTGACAATGAATGATAGAATGTTAGCTTAGCAATAAAATTCATATGAGATGTAAAGGATATGTATATGTGCACTATACGGTGTTTGTTACAAGAAATAACATTTCAACGCAATGGCGGTCTGGGAGAAAATGAAAGAAAATATCATATTTCTGGAAAATAAAGAAACAACGAATTCGTTATGTTTTTCACTGCTTCTGATAATAAAAATAATGATATTGGGGTAGTCTGCAGGGAAAAGGAGTGTATAATCTTGATTCAAGCTAATTTTTGACAGGTTTTGGTATATCACTTTCGTGAATCTAGTTTAGAAATCGAAGCCAAATTACAAAGCTAGAGAGCTGTCTACTTTAAATCACTGTAGTTATAGAATCAACTTACAGGGCATACATTAAAAAAGGTAGTATATTTGGTTGTGTTCAAAGTCATTTAAAGTTAATATATTGAAATCGTTCACCATAGAATCATAATATCGAGCTTTTGCCTTTGAGGTAACAGAATACACATGGATCTTTTCTGGTCGTATCCATCTTCGCGTAAGGATACATTTATGGATTTGATAACAAAAGTACGATGTATCAAACGTGTGTTAGTCTACGAGCACATTTATCATGTCACCATAGTTGTAAGATATCAGAACTTTAAAATAATGCAAATAACAATAACCATTTCTAGGTTTTCAAGAATTAAAGATGGGACTATATTGTAATCGTATTTATTTCTGGTATTCACCGGAACTGCTGTTAGGCTCAATTGTTGCCGAAAGGTAAATACAGGAAATCTGTTCAATCTAATCAATATTCTTCTGATTGCAGAAATCATTACCTTCAATTCAAATGTTAAAAGCGTAGAATTAAGATTTTGTTTTGGTCGGCGCCGATCTTAACCCAATTATATGCTAGCGTTAATATTTGGTAAGTTGAATTGTCGTAGGTACTGCTTGATACGTCAATGCATCATCATAATTTTGGTATTTAAAAACATAAAGCATGATAGAATTGATATAAATGTAATCAAAAGTAATTCCTTTGTGTTTAAAAAATCTCCAATATTTTGTTTGAAGTTGTACAATAAATAACATTGTAAGTGAGTTAAAATACCGCCCAACGAAGACATAGCACGATTCTTA